TAGAGGAAACCCCAGCATTGTCTTTCTCTCCCCTCTTACCAAAACTGGATTCAGAGACAAAAAGGGTAGAGGGGGACACCAGGTACACATTGTTCAGGATGCCAAGGACTGAGAAGAATGTCTAAAACGTTATTGTTTCTACAGTATGCTGTGGTGTTAGGAGGTAAACCAGGTTACCGACTGGGGCTGGTTCGGAAAAATGGTGATACAAAACTATTAATGTGGGACATTTGACTGTTCACATGGTTCTTGGACTGCTCTATATGTTGTGGTAAGTGTTCTGAGCATTAGGTGACTGGTCAAAAAAATACAGTGTTATGGGGATACCTTTATGTGAAGGGAAGATTGATTACTGTAAATGGGATATTGTACAGTATATGGTACAGTAACTGTCTTGTCTGGTCTGTGTGGATGCACTGGTGGTTGTTGGAGAAAAGACAACCTTTGGTAGGAAAAAAAGGGTCCTAACATGTTCTATAATTGCTAGGTGGTGTAATCCTGCACAAAAGAAAAGTAGTTCCTGAATTTAGGGGTCACTTCTCTGTGACATTTCAGAATGTTTCAGTATTTGCTTTTCACTTGGATGTTATATGTAACAATGTCTAAATAAAGGTTTATTTTTATTCTGATAAAAATACTGATTTAATTTCTTTATTCCAGGCTGTTAGACTACAAAACGTGTTATTTAGGATTAGGAAAGATGTGTAAGCTTTCTACAGGCAACATATTTCCTAATTTTGTATCACTTACCTGTACCTGTAGGTGCTTTTTAAGGATCAACTTCACTATGCTCAAAGAGATATTAAGGATATTTGAAATGATTATATATACTTTTATTGATCTATGTTGCATACAACTTTATCTCTGAGCTCTTTTGGTTGTCTCTTTGTCTTTGCGGTTGAATATTTGCTTGGAATTTAATACTTGAGGGGTCTTACGTAGGTAGTCGTATTTATTTTGAAACGAGGTTAACCACTATTATTGCACACAGTTGAGTCAAACCACACAACTAAATTTGTGGGCTGTTAAGTAATTTTGTGAACTTAAATTTATTTATTATTATTGCAGCAAAGCGTTTGAATACTTATGCAATCGTGACCTTTTTATTTCATTTTAATAATGAACAAATGATGTTTATCACTACTTGGTTTACTTTATTTGAATAATATAAAACTTTTCCAAAATCTAAAACTTTTATAAACCTATATGATATTTTAGATATGACATGTGGGATGCATGTAGTTTTTAGAAGATTTAACAGCTTCACAAAGTGACGGAATCACTTCTTACCTATGTTGATGAAATCAGACCTGTACTGGCAGGTCATTCCAAAGCCAAAGTCTCTCCAGAATCCTGTATCCTTTTTAATAACCTATGGAAACAAAATTCAAATACATCAAACCCAGCGCTTGCCACAGCAACAGAAAAGCTGTGATTTGTGATTGAAAGGGATTTACCAGATCAATTATTTTGCTAATATTGTGTTAGATGTGTTAGGAGTTTTAGATGTGTTACTTTACAACAATTTCAGTTTAAGAAAGGCGAAGACAAGAAGAGACGATAATTAATGATTAAAGATAATAAACATGGTCTTTTTAATGTATTTTGTAGAGCACACTGAAATGCAAGCTTTCTTTTAGTTTCATTTTAACTGTTTTATTGAGAAATAGTGAATAGGTGGTGTGTGCAGAATAACAATTACTAAAGTTTATTAGTAGGTTTCACAATGCATGTTCCTCAGAAGAAAAATGATTGTGTGCTTGAGATTTTACCTTGGTGATACTTTTTCAGCCCTTTAGAGAAGATCGCCTTTGTCTAAATGGCACAATCAATCATTCAGCACCACAGACAGTTCCAAAATTATGGTACTCGCATCCTCATAACTCCGACATCATATATTACATTTACTATAATGTAATATAAAACAGAATGATTCAAATTAAACTAAGACAACTGATAATTGAAAGAATAATTACTGTTACTAAGGAAAATAAATATTTATTTTTCACAAACATCTTTGCTCTCTCAAATTCTAGAAAATGTTAATATAAATATTGAAAATAATTGTAACGTAATAATTTTTAAGCTACATTTATAATTAATACATCCAAAATGCTGTTAACAATAAAGAATACTTTACCAGTTGCTGATCTATGGGTGGAATGCTGTCATGATGTCCATATATCAATCCCGGATTATACTGACTGAAGAGAATTGGATAGAACACTTTTTTACCTATGTGGTGTGGAAAAAACAAATCAAATCTGTCAAAAACCTCACATATACAAATTGACTACATTAATTACTCAAAAAATATGAACTCTGGCCAGTTCACTTTACAATGGATCATGACTTAATTTTATTATTTCCATCTAAGTGCCTATAACGACACATATTAGATGTATAATTTCTAATAAAATGTTTAACTCAGTACAATAACATGCCTCCACTGGGATATTCTTGTCTTGTGTTGTTCTATTTAACATACGCTTCAGATTGTGATTGAAATGTATAGCTTTCTCTTGTGTGTTTCTGTTAATCTAATCCTTTATTAAGGAGAACTGTATTATCTATTGAGCTCCACTTGAATTTTTTTTCCTTCTCCTGTATAAATCATATACATTTTAAGCTGCACTTATTTTTACATTTTTTAACCTATGCTATAAAATAATATGTAAACAATAATTTAAGGTAGTAAAACATAATAATATATGGATGTTTATACTTTTAAAGAAGAAAAATATCTAATAATTGGAAACTTAACTGGAATTGGAATGAGAATAATAATTAACCACTTCAAAAAACTGTAATATGTCTTCATTTATGAAAATTAGTATCTTAAAAGGATTTGTGTTTCTTTAGGTTCATTTTTGTTTTGATACAAAGACTATATTCTTCCTGATACTGGGAAATGACAGAAGGTATTCTGAGGCTATTCAGAGAAGTTTATGTTGTTATGGTCCCAGACTGAGGAACTTTCAAACAGTACAAAAATAAATGCTCCTTTTAAAATGAGACTTATCTAGATGTTGTTTGATTGTTATGAAGCTTTAGCAGCTTTTTTACGGCAATCATGGCAAGTGTTGAATAATTTCACGAAACTTCACTATGAACCACCCATTATAGGCTTCATTTGTTTTGGTTAATTTTGATCTCACCCGGCTGTGCATTGAGTCTGCAGGAATTGAGAAACTCTACAGTGAAGTAAATGTCCACATCACAGAAGAACAGGAGGATGTTGTTGCCCTTCCAGGCTCGAGCTCCAGTGTCAAGCCCTCTTCCCCGTGAAAACTCCTCATTTAGCTGGATGAAGGTGAAGTTCTTAAAATTCATTTCCCTGCGCATTAATTATGCATTTTATTACAGATTCATCGAAGACAAAGATTTCATGAACATCAGCAGAAAGCAAAGACATTTTCAAAGGAAGACACTCAGAGAATAAAGTCCAAAGGAAAAATCAAGGGAACAATAAAACAAAGAATCAGGAAATTAAGTGCCTGAGACAGACGTTACAACATTAACAGGACATAATAATGTAATTGTAATTCCAGCAAAGAAACATGGCTCATGGAGAGTGATGGAAATGAATACAACATTAGAGGATTCATCGTATTCAGAAGACATAGGCAATAGGTAAAAGTGAGATGTAGCACAGTACATCATCAAACAGAGCAGACACAGAAGCGAAACCAAGAGGAATCAATAATCCATATGGTTCAGACATTAAAAGCATCCAAAAGATGTAGTGCTGGAAGTATAATATAGACCGCAAAATACCAAATTTAATTTAGCATCATACAATATTGAGAATATATATTATGTGCAATGTTTGGTGTTTACAGGAGACTTGACTTTCAAAGACTAAGAAAAACATATAGAAATGTCAACATCTGGAACTGAAATGGTTGGCCTGGCTAGTGCCATCTTTCTTACTTTATTTGCTAGAGAACCTACGAGAGAGTGTCTGTGTTGTTCTAGTCTTTTCAAGCAATTAACACAATGTGAAGAAAACAGGTGAGAGAAGCATTAGAGAAATGTGAAATTACCACATACTTTGAAGTAAACTTTGAAACTGTAAAGGTAGAGTCCAAGTCAAAAATGCACAAAAAATGTTCTAAATGAATGACACAATTCTTTAGTGGTGTTGAATGGGACAGGATAGATTCAATCAGTGGAGAATGGATTGCAATAGTTTAAAGGAATTATGGAGAATGGAGAAAGAAAGCTAATTTTTTTACAAAGGTAAAATGGTAATAGAAAGGTCAAGAGAGAGAGGAAGGGATATAGTAATAGAGGCTAAAATAAATAATAAATGTCACTTCACTATTATAACAGAAAAAGAACTGTAAAGGATTAATTAAAATGTATCCAGAATAATAATTGAAACATCTAGACAATGAATGGAAAATGGATGATATTCAGTACAGTATCAAATGAGTGTTTCACTCAGGTGCTTACCTGGTTACTACATGTTTAGATGGATTACTGGGATTCCTGAGGATACTCAACATGCATTTAAAAAAGGCAAGCTTTTTTAAACTAATCTTTTGGAATTATTTGTACAACCAACACCAGTAATGATACAAAACTAATAGAATGAAAATGGAAACTAATAAATAATCAATGGATGCTCATACTGGGATAATATAACTAATCACATGGATCACATGAGTATCACATGGATCTACAGTATTTAATGACCACTACTCCTCAAATTTACATTAATGATCTGGATTTTGGTATAGTTAATAACTTAGCCGGACTGTAGTAGAATAAAACAATGTTGGCAAATAAGATTAAAAAATATTTAAATATTTTATATTTAATTTAGAAATGTGTGGACTACTGTATTCAGGTAGCAACAACATCATTAGAAATATAAGATGGGGAAACACAGAGCATGAGGTACTGTACATACTTATCAAAAAGACATAGGTGTTTATTTATATTCATACATAATATACATCTTATAGACTATGTAGGGAAACAATCATAAAGGGAAACAGAATGTTAGGATATATAGTTAAAAGTGTAGAATTTAAATCATGTGATGTTAGGTTTATATTATACAATGTTCTAGTAAGACCACATCTAGGATATTACAATGAAGTGTACTTACTTAATACTGTGCGCAGGTTTGGTCAACACATATACAGTACACAACACGTTACACAAAATACCTGTATATTGTTGCAATGGGATCAGTACAAAGAAGACTGATCAGATACATTCCTGGGATTAAAGAAATGTTCTACACCTACTGGCCACAAAACTTTTTTTTTTGGTCTTAAACAGAGAACACTGAATGGATAGAATTAAGAGTGAAGCATAAACAGAGGATATAGATGGAAGTGCATTTAGTGGAGTTTTTTTTTCCACAAAGAGTTGGGAGATTCTGGGGCAAGTTAGATTTAACCTGCTGTTTTTCTGCCACCAAACATGAAGTTCATATAACAGAACCACTGTATTTCTAAAAAGCATGTGCAATAGAAACAAGACATCGATTTGTTTAGCCATGAGCGGTGAGAATCCACAGAGTGAGAGCATGCAAATATCAGTAACTCTAAATGTCACAGTTGCTCATCCTAACATAACAAGTACTTTCTTTGTGAAATATTTGTATAATGAAATTAAAAAATATAAAAAATTTAAAATCATTGACTTATATGTATCACTAAAATAATAATTTATGATTGGCATAACTCATTGCTGTTTTTTATATTTTCTTTTAACATTGACTAACTGTCCAAGCCTTTCTGCTTCAAATATTTATTGCCTAACTGCTGTAGATTATCAGAAATAACAGGGCTAACCTGAGTGGGAGACTCATCAAGTTTGGGATCTTAACATTTTTGCTATATTATACTTTTTCTATTCAAAAGATACAAAATGCTGCTGGCCTTGTATCTTTAAAGCAGTGAATAACTTTCTATGCAAAATATGGAAAAGAACATAAGAAAACTCTGTCACGTCTACTTACAGCATAAAACTAATATGAAGAGGAAAGACATTAATCCAAGAAATCTATCTATTCAAAAGTTGCTAATATAAAACAATGAGATGAACTTTTCAAAATTGTAATCCTTGTGAATTTTAATCCACAGCATTTAGGTTTCAGCGAGTCTCAAGTGGGTAATTGCATAAGATGATGGCTCCATATATAACATTATAACTTCATATCAGTATGAAATAGTCTAAGATATTGTACATGCCAAGTTAACACTTTGAAAACTGCTGCAGCTTTTACTGACATAAATGTCCAATACAACCCTCCCAGCGGTAGTCAAAGAAATATGCATTACTACCTAGACAAATTCCGTAATTGTTCACTAATGAAATTAGTAGATTTGGAGTAGTGGTGCCTTGGTTGTACTGTAGGTCTCAACTAGTTCTCCTTTGCTAGTGAAGTTACTTGGAAGCCATTGAGAATTGTTTACTTCTAGTATTTTTTAGCTTTCTTTTTTGGAAAAGTGTCTACATTCTTATGCAACTCTATTTTCATTTATGTCTTGATGGAAACATTTTAACAGTTTGTATTAAATGCTAGATTAGGAGAAAATACAATATAAAAGCATCACAGAGGGAAAGGAAGAAAGACAGCAGTTAGTTAAATATCTTGGAAAAGAC